GCTGGTGTCGCTGCCCCTGTCGCGTATCCGCGTGATTATGAAGAGCTCCCCGGAGGTCTCCAGCATCAACCAGGACGCGCTCTTCCTCACCGCCAAAGCCACGGTACCGGCTCCTTCTTCCCTTCCCTCTCGACCGACCTCCCCGCCGCGCCGGGCCTGTGCCTCCCTGAGGTACCGCTGCCTCCAGGCTGAGCTCCCGCCTCGTTCCTCTCACTGCATTTCCCTTCCTACCTGCGTTTGGCGCTCGGCGGCCATGAAGCATCGGGCTTCAGGCTCCCGCTGTGTAAAAGAGGTTTGAGGCACCGTCCCGGCCAGCTGAGCTCCCAGAGCGGTGCAGGAGGTTCATCTTTCCACCGCTGCCAGTTGATATAAATTGTGTGGGATATGTTACCCTGCTGCTTTCTGATCCCAAGTGTCGTTTGCTGGGCTGTGGAAAGTGTTGCAGAGCAGCGTAAATTAAGTTCTGTACCACAACCCAAGCAGTCTGTTTTGAGAAGATGTAATCATATCCCGACCTGATATTTTTTAATTTAGTGGGTCTTTTCTGAAATTAATGGGTCTCACTACGGGATAACCAGTATATGTACATTTAAATATGGTCTTTGTGCCTTTAAACAGGTATTAAAGAAAAATGCTCTCGACTCTGTATATATATTCCTAGTTTGACTGTTTGATTTTGTTTAATTTTTTTAGGAGCTTTTTGTTCAGTATTTGGCTACGTACTCCTACAAACATGGCCGAGGCAAGGAGAAGAACGCTCTGACTTACAGTGACCTGTCTCATACTGCGGAAGAGTGTGAGACCTTTCAGTTCCTTGCAGGTATCTATAGCATGATGGTAAATCCACTATGTACTTTGGAAAATGAAATCTTGCTCTTGTTGAATTGTTTTGTGAGAGCACAATTCTCCAGCTGATCATTAATCTCCTGTATAACATTCAACTGGAACTCATAAGCTACACCACTGAAAGCATTTCTTTGTGAATGGGGATTTTTTTTGGTGCTTCAAAATGATGCAAAGCTAATTAGTGCTCAGCATATTGAACTAAGCAGTTCTTAAATTCCTGCAGCTCCATCTGAAAGCTTTCACCCTATAAAACAAGATCAATGCGCATTGTTATGCGAGAAGTTATGTGGTCCTAAAATTGTAAGTGTGGTTTCTCAAACTGATTCATTGTACGGTTCCTCTCTCCTTTTATGTGCACATGTACACGTGTGTGTGTGTGAGCACACAGTTTTTACTGATATTTGGACTTCTGTGGTAACAATTAGCTCAGAAAAGATACTGGCATAAGATGTATGTTAAAATATATTCCTTATCTTTGGTTACTTGTGCCGTAAGTTGGTAATTCCCTCTTATTCTTACAGCTGTGTAAGTCACACTAACTTATCTGGTTATTCACTTAAATAATTACTTTTTAACAATGCCTCTTTTCAACATCACTTCATTAGCAGTATAGATGCAACAGTATTAATGAGGCAATATAAGTATTCAAACCGACTGTAAAAGAAACAATTCTGCCTTCCAGATATCTTGCCAAAGAAGATCCTAGCTAGCAAATACCTAAAAATGCTTGAAAAAGAGAAGCGAGAAGGAGAAGTGGGGCAAGGTGATGAACAGGATGAGGACGAAGAGGATGAAGATGAAACTGTTGGTGAACGTGTTGGATCTTAAGACCAATGGAGAGCTGCTTCATGGTTGATCCATTTTTTTGTATAAAGGATGTTATTTTTATGACTGAGAATCCAGATGCTGGATATATTTATATACTGAGCCATCTGCTTTGCTTTGTTTAAGAAGTTTAGACATTGAACTTTATACTTGTTTCTGAGGGAAGAATTCCACTCTTCAGCACAGCAGGGTAAGAAGACCTAATGCAAATCTGACAGCAGAACTTGCTCAGATGACACAAAATTACTTCTTCAGACAATCATTATCCAAATTTAAAATTTCATCCCAGCAGCATTCAGGCCAGAAGCTGTGTTTCATCCTCTGGCTGCAAGGGAGTCCTTCCCCAGTTTGGGTTTCTTTTCAAGCAGAAGATGAGGTGAGGTGATGTTTTACACGGTGTCTGCTGTCCTCAGGCTTCTCCTCCTCGGGGATCCAGTAACCGATCAGACCCTCCCTCGGTTTTCAGGAGTGGTGCCAGGGAATTAGCAGTGGACCAAGCCTGTTAAAAAAAAAACATCTGGAAAAACAGGGACTTCCATGACGTAGCCTAAACCGCCACGTGGGCCCCAAAACAGGGCAGAGGATGAGATCTGCTCCAAGAGCTGATGGGGTTCTGTGGCTGTGGTGGTGAAAACGTACACGTCTTGGACAGCAGTGTAAATATGTACATCCCGAACCTTTAATGAACTCTACTGCCGCAGTTTGTCCGTGGTGCTCTGCCAAAACGCACATTAGATGTGGATTGGTGAGAGTGAGCAAACCTTTTACCATGTGAGTGACAGAGCTGGATTTTTCATTTGGTTTGGGGTTGGTTTTTTTTAACTGTAGAAATGGTAACCGTCCTGTGTAGAACTTTATATGCAACTTTTTGAAATAAATGTTTTGTATGAAAAGTGCCAATCGATGCAGACTCTGTAGTTCTTTCCAGCTCCGGTCACATATGTGATCAGCGTACAAGCCCAGGAAGGAAGCGGGGAGAAAGGACAAGGTGATGCTTTGAGCAGTCTCTATCAGCAATAGTAGCCAGATCTGGTTGGTTTATTTATGTTAGTATCACCATTAACATTAATTTCTTATTTTATTAAGCATGTGCATTTCAACCCACGGGTCTCCTTTTCCCAATTCCCCTCCTGAGGTGGGGAGGGGACATTTGCAGCCAGAAAAACTGCCTATGTGACAGGAACAAATCCTCCCACCCCAAAAACGTGGGCAGGAACCCACCCTGAATGGTCAGGGAGGGCGATGTCTCAAGCACCACCCACATTTGGACAGCATGGACAGGAGCTAGCAGGAAACTGTCCTCCCCATCATGATGACGCTAATGGCTTCTCTGAGGTTGAAGGCTCTTGATATTTAAAAAGATCAAAGTATGCTGCTCTATTAAAAAAAAGTTCCTAAAGTTACCATAAATCCACATCCTATTGTCTCAGGAACGCTGCAGTGAGTGAGAAGTGATGCTTTATCCCTGGAGGAATTCCCAAGCGGGTATGGGGAACTATACCATTGTTGAAAGGGTTGGCTGGCTTTTTTTTTAATATTATTATTAAAAGTGCCTGGAGAGCTGTGGGAAACTGAGGGCTGAATGCTCTTGGGTGGGGGTGGGAGGAGGTTGCCTGCAGTAGGATATGGAAATTCTGTGGCATCGCTCAACACTTCGTGGATTTGGTACTTGTCAGCTTTTGGGGTTTAAAAAAATAAAGCAAAAGCAACTTACACTGCATGGTAACTTTGTAGCATAAACAGGACCAAAGGCAGAAGGCAACAAGATAGGTGGGTGGTTGTTTTTTTTAGGGCACACACATTTATAGCAATTACAGTCCTGCTTAGTTTTAGCCATGGTGTTTTTCCACCACCAATTCTGTCTTTGCAGCCAACACACTTTCCCACTTTGCAGAACCCTCTGAAAAGGGGTTTTTAAGCCAGTCCTGATCCCAGGCGGGAGCAGGTTGTCCCTGAAGCACTGCAGCCTGGGGAAGGGCCTGCACTGGAGCAGGGAGTCGGGAGTGAAAGGGTAAAGCTGGGACTGGGAAAAGGGGCAGTAAGGTGGTGTCTTAATACTGTATTTTTGTTTCTTATCACAGAGCTCTATTTTATTTGACAGGAAACCACATAATTTTCCCCAAGCCGAGCCTGTTTTGCCCATGACAGTAACTGAGAAGTGTTCTCCCTGTCTTTCTCTCAGCCCAGGAGCTTTCTCATCCTATTTTTTCCCCGTCCTGGTGAGGAGTGAGCAGCTGGAGGTGCATCTGGCCCTGAGGTCAACTCTCCACAACCAGAAATGCCAAAAGAGCACATTAACGCTGGGCTACACACAGAAGGAAGTGCAGTTCAGGTGAGATCAGATATGCAAATAGAACAACCAGTACAGTGGGACACTGGTGTAACATTTCGAGTGACACATCCCAGTCCACCTCCAGCCCACAAAAGCCACAATCACAAGCTGTTACAAAAGCTCCAGCTACAAAGCTCCAAGTACAAACCACATCGTTTTACCTGAACTTCCTCAGCCTAGTCCAAAAGTGACTAAGGAACATTTGCACAAAACAAAGCATGCAGCCCGTGTCTTACCCTCCAGCCGGGTAATTCGCCTGGCATCCACTGAACCCTACAGCAGAAACAACTGGGAAAGCAGGAAAAAGTCATTGTCTCAGACTTGTCCCTTTGCAGCTCAGGGTTTTCTTTCCCCATCAGCACCCAGCTCTCCACTGCTGCTGAAGGTCTCAAGCACAGCTTGGGCCTCTGCGCTCCCTTCTGCTTTGCCACAGCTGGCCCTGCTGACTTTGAAGGACTTTTGTTTCCTCCTGCCAACCTTTCAGGTGAGGAGCTTATCACTTACGGCCTATGCATCAAAACCATGAGTACTTCAACCACCCCGGCCTGGGCTGACACAGCCTCCTCCTACACCCACAGGAGGAACAGGATAGTCCATGATACCAAGGACAAACCTTCCTCCAGGTACTGGGAAGCTGTGGTCAAGTCTGCTGTTGCTGGATGTTCCTGTCCTGCAGGGAATTTGTAGTACCACCAGGTGTATGTTGACCTGTTTGAGGCGTTCAGGGATTTTAGACGGGACACCTTCCAGAACTAATTTATCATTATGCACATTTCTCTACTTTTTTCCCCCTACAGTAATAGCTTGTGAGATCCTTCCCCACCAGCCAAGGCTGCTCAAAGGAGATGAAGCTTCCTAAGCTTCACAGACAACCTAAGCTTCCTCCATATAAATCATATTTCATCCCTCTTAGAAGTTTCCTGTGGGATGATGAACATATTCTGTTGATTAGTGAGGCCACAAAAACTTGAGCGACCTCCTGGATCCATTCAGTCCTCGATGAGAGCTTCAGAGCTGCCAAAATTTCCCCCAGCCATCTCCAAGGCCTTGCACCTGCCAAAGCTTCTTGCCATCAAAACCAAGTGAGTGGTATTTGTCTTCCCCAAGAGCTTCACACAGAGCAAACCCACAGCCAATTCCCTTTCCACTGTGGAAAATTATTTAGGCCATGAATACATCTCGCTGTGCATACACAGAGAAAAGGAAACCCCAGTCTCACAGCGCACAGGTAACGGCAGAAAACGGCCACGTGAAATAAAAACCCATCGACCACAAACTTGTAAAGATGAGGAATTTTATTTTATTGACATACTATGAGGCAAAACAAAATTGACACCATACAAAATAACTTTATAAAATATCATTCACATCATTATTTTGTCAGGAATTACAGCATTCGGAGCTTGTTACAAGTCTTATGTTTTGAGGTGAAAAACACTAGGCTAAATCTTTAGTATTAGTTGGGTATATACAGTAAGAAACCAAAACAGAAACTGTTAGGGTTTTTTTTCATGAGTTTATTGCAAAAGTAGTGCAAACTATTTTACCTTGCAAGCTGTAAAACAAACTTGGAAAAGGACCCACCTAAGCTTAAAAACATGACAATAAATGCTCAACTTCACAGCCTTTGAAGCTTCCTTCAACAGTTCTCAAGGAAGAAATTCCCCATCTCTGCACATTTTTCGGTTTTTACTGACTCGGAAAGGAAGGAGAAGCCGGATACAGCCACGGGCCCTGCTCCGCTACGGGGCGCAACTCTTACCCAAGCCAAAATTGGGGTGATTCGGCGCGGCCGAGCGCACGTCCCACCGCGCCTCCATCACCCCCAAACCCTCACCCAGAGGTCAGTTTGGTTTTTCTCTGTTAATAATCCGCCCCCTCTCCACACTCGTATTTAAGAAAGAGTCAAGAAAGCAGTACGAGCAAAAAAACAAATAGAAATTCAAAATTAGGAACACGTATTGTCTGTTTTAGAAATATAGTATCCTTTTCCTGACGTAAAGCGGCATTTCCTCATGGTTCCCCCCGCCCCTTAAGTACACAACGCAGGGCAAAGCCCGTCCCGAAGTTACTGCAAGGATACTACACCCTACGAGAGCCAACGACGGTCTCAAACACTACCAGGGTCCTCCCAAAGCAAAACAGGTAGCAAGTCATCCACTACAAATGAAAATAAAAGCAAACAAATGCTACATGGAAAATGTTAAAGGAACAAAATGCAGCATATTCAGGCTCTTTTTTTTATTTATTTCTTGAGGTACCTATATAAATATTACCTTCTGCCCAAAAGTACGACTGGTTTTGTTAAAAAACGACAAGTCCTTATCGCGAGCCAATTGCCGGGCATCCATTGTTACTGAGAAAGTGCAACCATGCTGATCGTTTCTATGCAGCATTTAAAGGAGGATTATTAGGCTTTAGAAAATATAGCTTAAGTATAGACCTGATGGAGCAGTTTTATAATAAAACAACATTTCACAGAGGCGTTTTCCTTTTGTTCGCGTCTCTCTGCGGCAGGAAGCCTTGGGAAACGGCTCAGTCCTGCCACGATGGAATGTCAGCTTTTACAGTTCCTTACATAGAGTCTTTTATTTAATATTTAAACTAAATACGCTTTTACGGAAAAGTTTCCCCCCTCTGTATTAGGTACTGGTAGAAAGTCGATTTTTTTTAATTTTTTTTTTTTTTTTTTAAACTTCAAAAAATGAGAGCGTATCACAACTTAAAACTTTCCCCAAAGGAATTCTTTCCAAGTAAAAAAGGTTCACAGAGTAGAAAAAACTTACGCGTAGCTGTAAACTGGTACATACAAAACTGTGGAAAAGTCAATGACGTTTCATTCCCTTACCCTTACACGTGTATCCCTTCGTTTTATATATATATAAAGATACACACACACAAAGTATCGTGTACTCCGTGTGTGTGTATATGCACATACATCTCTGTGTGTCTATATAAACACAGACA